TGGCCATGCGACGAGTCTCGCCGGCCGCTCCCAGCCCCCAGCGCGGGGTCGGAGCGGCAGAGAACAAGGGCAGGAGGCGCGGCGTTGCCGCGGCACGGAATGGGAGGAAAAATAAGGTTGTGGGAGGGCGGGGCAAGCGACCCCACTCTCGACCCCCAAATGCGACAGACATGCTGCAGGGCGCATGCGCGTGCGCACAGCGAAGCGAGGAGGGGGAGGTGAGAGTCTAACTTTGCTTCACCTTTGTGAATCCGAGTTAGCTCCCACTCCTGTTCCTCCTCTTTTTTGCATTGGCCATGCGACGAGTCTCGCCGGCCGCTCCCAGCCCCAATGCCAATGTTGAGAAACGGGGAGGGGCCCAGAGACGAGGCACAGCGGTGCCCTAATTCTCAGGGCCGGAATCGTCGACGACGCCCTGCGCCAGCAGTCCGGCGGCGACCTCGTCGCCAGACACGTAGGGCCTGGCGGACGCTGCCGAACGCCAGCCGCCTCGCGCCAGCATGGCCTCCACGCCCGACGCGGCAAAAACGTCGGCAGCGGCCCCTCGCCGGACATCGTGCCCAAACCATTCCTCGGGGCAAGCGACCCCTATAGCGCGCAAGTGGCACCGAAACTCCGACGTCCAGGATGCCCGGGTGTACCCGCCGAGCGGGCGGCCCCCGCTGCGGAGGAGCTCGTCCCACACCGGCAACCACGTGTGCAGGCAGATACCCTCGTCTACTCCGCACGTGCAGAAGGAGAAAACCGTGCACAGATCAACCCTTTGCTTGCGACGGATTGGCCCATACACGAAACGACCGCCCTGTGGCTGCACGAGGGCGCGTTCGCATTGCGCAAACAGTTCTGACGGCATTCGCAGAAGAAAATTGTACGCTAAAGCCGCGATCGCACACCACCAAGTGCGCTGTTGCGACATTGCGTGGCGGAGCAAACGCCGCAGGAGCCGCCGGTCAACCCTGTGACGGGGCAGCCGGGGCGTCCTGCACTTAGCAGTGCCCAAACGGATACCACGGAGGATGATATCTTGATCCCCCTGCCACGGCACGCCGGCGACCTGGTGCGCCAGGACCCAAGCGCTAAGCCAGCCGCGCTGCGTGGAGGCGCACGCGCACACGGCCGCAACCCGGCGAATGTGCTGCACGGCGCACCCCAGCGGGGGGGCCCCAAAGAGCTCGCACGCCCACGCGACCATGCGCAAATGAGACGCGTACGTCCGGAGTGTGGACGGCGCCGTTTTGCACAAGAAGCGATCTTGCACCACTGTGTCTGCAAGGCTCACGACATCGACCCCCGACGCGCGGGCCTCTTCTAGGGCCCTCAGGATCTGGCGGGGCGGGGCCCCGTCAGGATGCCGGGGGGTGCAGCCTCTGTCTCTGCTCAGCGCCACCATCATGTCCCAGTTGTGCCTCTCAGATGCCTGCCCGAGTGCTTCCACAACGCGCCAGAAGACGCCCCATGCGGACGCTGGGCCGCCAGCCGTGGCGGCGGCAGAGAGCGCCTGTACCCCGCGAGGTGGAGGCGAGGCGACGCGCGGGCAGCGCTGCGGACTGCCGTCGCCGCCGAGGCCAGCGGGGCCAGAAGGCCCTGCGGGGCAGACAGCGGCGCCGCCGAGGGCCCGGCGGGGCCAGAGGGCGACCGCAGTGGACTCGGAAGCCTGCGCGGCGCTGCGGGCGCCAGCTGGGGCGGCCAGAACGCCCGCCTGGCGCTTCACGACCCGGGCCGTGGCCCGCGCCGCCTGGGCGGGGCGCCGCGGGGGAGAGTAGGTAGGCCCCACCCGGTGCAGCCTCGGTGCCATGCGGGAAGCGCCCCAGCCGCCGCAGGAGCCCTCGGGCCAGGCGTGGCTGCCGCTCGCGCGCGGCGGCATCTCCTGTCGTCCTCCGCCATGCGCTCCTCGTCTGTGGTCCACCCCGTCGTCTTCCTCCTCGTCGTCCTCCGTCCTCCCCTGCCTGCTCCTTCCCCCACATGCCGGCCAGCCGGCTCTGGACCTGGGGGGGCAGACATTTTTGCCGCGGCAAACGAGGAGGGGGAGGGCGGACCAAAAGGGAGGGGGAGACGGCAAGGGAGGGGAGGGGAAGGGGGAAGAAGGACAGGGGGGGGGACGACGACGACGACGGCGACGACAGAAACGACGACGACGACAACGACGACGGAGCGACGACACGGAGGCAGCAGCACCCGCAGGCGACACCGACGACGCGAGGAGCCACTTTCCAGCAAACGCGGCGCGACTCCAGAACCGACTATGTACAATGGCAACGGCTGAAGTCCACCGTAAGCGTGGGGGTGGTAGCGACCACCACAGCCCCAAGCTCACGAAGGGCTGCTTTCCCGCCCTCGCGGGAGGCAGCGTCAAGGGGATTTGAGGCCGTGTGAACGTACTCAAACCAGCACCTGATGTCGAAAGTACACATCAGGTCGTGTATTGCCCCAACCACGCAGGCGACGTGGGGGGAACGGGCGTACCCTTTGATACACCCAGAGACTGCCGCTGTATTGTCCCCGAAGCAGAAAAGAGACAACGATCGTAGCTCTTCGCCCCACACTTCTAGAGCCTTGGCAATCCACCATGCCTCGGCGCCATTGACGGCGTGTTCAGCGCTCGGCCCGAGCGTCTCCAGCACAGCAGGCGGGAGGACGATGCTGAAGCCTTCGCAGAAACCCCGCGCTGGGATGGCCAACGTAGCGGCGACTCTGCTCGTGCCCATGGCGGCGTCGCCAAACAGCACAGCGACTGGGGCGCCAGCGGGCACCAGGGGCACTGCGCGTGGGGGCCCCCGCCTGAGCAGCTCCGCCCAGAGGTGTAGGGAAACTTGCACCTGAGGCGGCCACGAGCCCGCCCTTTGGATGGCTTCGATTTTCCCTAAAGCCTCGAACAGTGGACGCCTGGCGTGCGCGCCGGCCTTGCCCTGAAGGCCCCGCGACGCAAAAACTAATTTCCCTATGCAAGTGGACGCTGGGCCCGCCTGCGGGCGGCTGCGCGCCAGGTCCTCACACTCCAAAGCTAGCGGCCCCTGCCTGCAACTGCGGTTGCCGACGAGGGGGCCCTCTGCGCGAGAACTACAAACCAGCCCCAACAAAGGGATCGTGAGACCATGCGTGGCCTTGGCCTCATTAGTGCCGTACTCGAGGACCTTAAGCACCTCTCTGGTGACAAACCGGGCAGACGCTGCGCAGAAGGGCGGTTCCCACGACCAGTAGTCGTCGAAGTAGTTATCGGCATTAATGAAAAACCACCGGTTTAAAATATCCTGGAGACTCCGAAAAACAACGTTTGAGTTGGTTACCGCACCACCTGTGCCGAAGTCCTGGGACAGCAGCTCCCGGCCGACCACGCATTTGTCGCGAGGGTGCCAGAAAAGTTGCACCACCCTGACCGGGTCGCGGCGGCGCCCGACCTGGTGGTAAGCCTTGCGCAAATCATCTTTGCACCCCACAGGGGGCACGCCGAAAGCTCTCTGCGAGGCGACCATCTGTGCAAGAATCACCTCGCTGTCCGAACACACTATGCGCTCGGCCGCCGCCCAAGTTAAATTAAAGCAGCACCCGCCTGGCGAGTCGGATGCGTCGGCGCACCTCCTGATTTCCGTGGAACAGGACGCCTGGCCGGACTCGTCCTCCGACCACCGTTTTGGGCAGACGGCGAACTTGCGGCAGAAAACGACATTCGCCCCGCCGCCGGCGCCGCCTTGGAAGTGCTCCACAGGCCAGGCGGGCCCCAGCGAGCCAGTGGCCTCCGCCTGGGCGCCCTGCTCCCAGACCTCGGCCGCGCGCGGGTGGCTCCTGCGCACGCGATCAACCAGCTCGGCGTTGCGCCCGGCGGAGTGCGCCAGCAGCTGCTCGACCGACCACTCCGGCGCCGCTGCCGGGAGCGGAGGAAAAATGCCAGAAGCGGCCGGCACCCCCGTGTCGGGCAGGCCCCTGTGCAAGTTCTCTAAAAACTGCACCGCCGGGGACCCGATGAGGCGCAGGAGGCGGAGGAAGAGAAGGGTGGGCTTGCTAGCGAACCCCCGGAGGGCAGGGTCCACCGAGGCGGCCAGGCTTTGCTGGCTGACCTCAAGTTCCCGCTTCCACACTTTTAACAAGGCCAGCCGTTTCAGCCGCACCTCGTTGATGCCTGCGCCGAAACGAAGTTGCGCTGCCAACGCGCACGCCGTGCCCTCCGCTATCACCGGGAGCTGATTCAGCGGGTGGCTTCCTGCGGCGGCCAACTGCAGGGCCACCCGCAGGTGCTGCGCGGGTGGCAGTCCCCGCGAAGGCACCGTGGCGACGGCGCCCCGAGGGTGAACGGCCACTGTGGAGTCGGCGACCCAACCGCGGGCCACGGTGAAGGCTTCGCCCTCGCCTGGAAGAGCAGCTCCAGGAGCGCCTGGAACTAAGGCGAACAGGTCTGCGTTCGTCTGCAGGGCAGCAAGAGGGTAGGCGGAGGAAAGGCAGCGAGGGGGGGAGGGAGGCGCGGCGGCGGCCGAAGGGCAGGCAGGGGAAGCGGGCGAGAAGGGCGGGGAGGCCGGGGAAGAAGGAGGGGAGGAGGAGGAAAGGACAAGCAGGGGAGCAGCAGCGTGCGAGACTCCACTCGTCTTTGTTTTGGTTTTGTTTTTTCTTTTTGTGACACGTCGTTCATTTCTAATTGTGCTCATTTCTCATTGTGCTCGTTTCTATTTGTTCCTGGCCCCCTAGTGACCAGGAAGAGGCCCAGGATAGAACAATTAGAAATGAAAGGATCTTGGCCCCCCAAAAAATCAAAGAACCTTCGAATAATTAGAAATGAGCAATGTGTACTTGTTTTTTTTATTCCCCGCCCAGAAGCCACCGCAGCACACAAGTTCCCCAGCTAGCGCTCGCCACGCCCACCAGAGCGTCCCCAGGCTCGCCGCCAACCCCGGGGGGGGGAAGAGGGCAAGAGGGCAAGGCAAGAGAGAACTGCGACGAAGCCAGGACGAGGACAACATCGGGTGATGATATAAATCGAGAATCCGGCGGCTCTGGAAGAAATCTCGGGCGCCGCGGCCTTCTCAGAGCGTTCCGGAAGCGTTCCGGAACGCTCTGAAAGAGCCCCGGAACGCTCTGTAACGGAATTCTCATCGTCCCAGCCCCGTCTGACGAGCGCATCGCACGACTGCTCGGCTTCGATTACCCGAGCATGCAGCCGTCTACCCCCCTCCTTCTGGAGATGGGGATCGGCCGGTATGGAGGAGGAGGTGGAGAAGGAGGAGGATGAGGAGGAGGAGGAGGAGGAGGAGGGGGAGGAGGGGGAGAATGGGGAGGAGGAGGAGGAGGAGGAGGAGGAGAGGGAGGAGGAGGAGGAGGAGGAGGAGGAGGAGGAGGAGGCGGAGGAGGAGGAGGAGGAGGGGCCACGGCCGCAGGCACGTCCCAGTCAGCAGGGCCTCCTCGAAGAGGCTGGAGGCAAGGAGGTGGCAGAGGAAGGGAGGATGAGCCCTGGCCCTTCCTGTCCACCACGCTCTGTCCGCCTCCGTTCCTCGGAGGATCTCACGATGAGGAGGAGCAGCGCACTTCCCGCCCCCCCCCCCCGAGGTCACAGCAGGCAAGGCCGTCCCCTTCCTGCACGAAGCTCCAAACATGCGCTGACCAGTATCGCTTCGATTCACTCCAAGATTACAGAAGAAGATTATGATGATGAGGAGGATGAGGAGGAGGACGAGGAGAAGGGGGACGATGATGATGATGAGGAGGAGGAGGAGGATACTCCAAACATGCTCTGATCAATATCGCTTCCATTCACTCCAGGTTTACCGATGGGGAGGAGGATGAGAGGGAGGAGACGGAGGAGGAGGAGGAGGAGGAGAAGGAGGAGGAGGAGGGGTATGAGGAGGAGGAGGGGGATGATGAGGAGGAGGATGCTCCAAACATGCTCTGATCAGTATCGCTTCGATTCACTCCAGGTTTACTGGTGATGATGATGATGATGATGATGAGGAGGAGGAGGAGGAGGAGGAGGAGGAGGAGGAGGAGGAGGAGGAGGAGGAGCAGGAGAAGGAGAAGGAGGAGGAGGAGAAGGAGGGGAGGAGGAGGAGGATGCTCCAAACATGCTCTGATCAGTATCGCTTCTATTCACTCTAGGTTTACCGATGATGATGAGGAGGAGGAGGCGGAGGGGGAGGAGGAGGAGGAGGAGGAGGAGGCGGAGGAGGAGGAGGAGGAGGAGGAGGAGGAGGAGGGGGAGGAGGAGGAGGAGGAGGAGGAGGAGGAGGAGGAGGAGGGGGAGGAGAAGAAGGAGGAGGAGGAGGGGGAGGAGGAGGATCATACCATAGTCTGCTGGAGGCGCACAGGAGGCGGGCGCCAGGGGGGCGGTGCGCACCGCCTGCTCGGCCGCGCCGTGCTGCAGGGGGCCTCGGCACGGAAGGCCTGAGGTCAGAACAGGGCGGTGGTCCGAAGCTGCCCAGACCATCCCAGACCTGCTCGCGTCGTAAAACGTTCAGGGCGGGTTTTTTCTCGCCGTCTTCGGCCTCCGGAGGCCCTCGCCAGGCCCCGGGGCCGTCAAAAAACGACTCAGGATGAGAAGCCGGTCCCGGGGAAAGGGTCGGGGCTTCCGGGGACGCCGTGCCGAACAAGAATCAGGACGTCGCATTTCTGGGTAGGCGCTCCCTGAACGAACCTGAACTTGCTCCTTGGGCTAGAACGCCTTGACTCCCAGCGGGGGCCTCGGCGTGGAAGGCCTGAGGCAAGAACGGGGCGGTGGCCCAGCTGGGCGCTCCCTAAACTAGGGGGACGAATAATGGCATAAACATAACCACTCGGAGGTCCGCGCGGATTTCTCGGATCGCTCCGGCGGCGCCTCCGGGCCCCCTGGCGGCGCCTCCGGCGCCGCCCCTGGCGCGCTCCGCGCGCCAGGGAGCCGGGTCCAGCGCCGATCGGAGAAATCCGCGCGGACCTCCGAGTTTTTATGTTTATGTCGTTGTTCGTTCCCCTACTAAACGAACCTGAACTTGCTCCTTGGGCTAGAATGCTTTGACTCCCAGCGGGGGCGCAAGAGAACGGACAGGTCTTGGCTGCCGCGGGTGGTTGGGCAGCGTGTTGAAGCGAACTCTCGACCAAATCTCGCGGGTAAGGCCCGCAAGAACTCCAGACACTCTCCTTTCCGTGAGCATCTGAAGCCAGAAATGCACCATCGTGTTCCTAGTGAGATCCCCACGTTGGGGCCTTTCACCACGTCAGCGGACAAAGTCACAACCCTCAAACGATGCCCCTGAATGCTCTGGTCAAGGACACCTTGTACATCAGCCTCTCTCCTTCGCCCAGCGAGCAGGTGCAGCGCAAACTCGACGTCGGGCGCATGAGTGAGCAGAGGAGGGGCGCCAAGCTGTCCACCCCCGCACTTGAAACACTTAATACCGCCATGCTTCCGCACACGCCTCGTTCCGGAACTCCAGACTCTCAGCATGGTGCCATCTCTTGGGGGCGCATCTCTTACTTCCGCGGCCGGCGCCGCCCTCGCGCTGCATCCGCCGCCTTCCGCCAGCCTTCCGCCGAGGCAGAGATGCCAAC